CTCTCTCTCTCTCTCTCTCTCTCTCTCTCTCTCTCTCTCTCTCTCTCTCTCACATTTATACACAAAAAACAAAAAAATTCATGCGAAATAAATGACTTCTTCTCATAAAACATTCAGGACAAGGTATTGTCTCATTCTACTATGATTTAGGATTAAACATGCATGTGTTTGAAATATTTTTATTTGAAAAACATTATTTGTAAGACAATTGTATTGATAATTATACAGTATAAGGGACTATCCTCCAATGACCTTGATCTTGACATATGTTGTCAAGATCATGACCCTGAATGACCTTGAACAAATTTTAGCCGGCGGTCGTTGTTCAATAAAACTTAACTTTTCGACGTGATTGCGCTTTAATAATGAGACAAATTCCCTGTTTTAACAGAGCAAAATATTTACTTATATAAATTTTGTGTCTTTAGAGCATAGAAAATTTGTATTTTTAAAAGCATAGAATTTGCATTTAAATGAAGAAAATGTGGTTTTAAAGCAAAAAATTTCTGTTTGTATATATAAAGCAGAAAATATTTTATTATGGGTACGATTACGATAACCAGGGCCCCCCAAAACAATAGTGATTTTCGAAAGCAATTCTAGCAAAGAACATGAGAAAAATAGTACAAAAAAAAATTGTAAATATTGATAAAAGGGGACCACTTTCCGATGATCTTGATCTTGACATATATTGTCAAGGTTACGGCCCTGAGTAACCTGCAATAGGTTTTAGCCGTTGCTCGTCCTTCGTTAAAAAGTTATTAACAAAAAAGTTTCGAAGATAATGTATCATTTCTGCAAACGGGCATACAACTTCCACATGGTTTCGACTATCCACGCAAAGCGAGAGCTACCTCACACAATATAATAAAAAATTGCTACCTCACATTTTTAAAAGTACAGAATTTTTCATTTGAAAGGAAAAAATGTGGTTTGAAAAATACAAATTCTCTGGGCTCTAAAGTAGGGAATTTATCTCATCAGAGCACAGTCATGTCCAAAAGTTAGGTTTTATTGAAGAACTTTTTTGTTAATAACTTTTTAACGAACAATGAGCGACGGCTAAAATTTGTTCAAGGTCACTCGGGATCATGACCTTAACAACATATGTCAAAATCAAGGTTATTGGAGGATAATCCCTTATACTGCATCACATGAAAATATTTTGTATTTTGTATTTCGGTATTATTAACGAAAGATTAAAAATATATTTTATATTTTAAATACTCAGATTGACAATATATATCAATCTTATTATTTGATTATTACAAAATACAAAACATACTTGTATTGCAAACAATGTGTTTTAAATAAAAGTATTTCAAATACATGTCCAGTCCTGAAAGCGTTGCTAAGTATTTCTTAAATGTTTCTTTCAGCGTACATGCCTACGTCAGAAGCATCCTTCTCTGTTGAGGAAGAGGACGCGATTGTAACGTTGATAGTTGTTGTGTTCGGCATTATTGTTGCCATGGTGGTGCTGTTCTCGATGAGTATTTTCATAGACTGCAAATATCAGTATGTTAACAATGATTCTTTTCCAAAAAACTACGTTTTGTTAATTAAACAATTTTAAATAAATAAATAACAATAAAGGTGTCGTCTATTAAGTGCAACAGAAAACTTTTATTTAGGCCCGGTTGCACCAACACTTTTTGATTTTAAGTGAGACTTAAAACTGTATCTATCTCGTTTTAAAGTCGAAAGGGAGACAGACAGAGACAGTTTAAGTTTCGCTTAAAATCGAAATCACGTTGGTGCAATCAGGCCTTAGACAGATAGTACAAACTGAAACTGTATTTACGTTACAAAAGAGTAGAATGAGAATATGTTTGTGAAATTAATTATTAATTATCGTTACAATGAACGTTATTGCAGGAAGCAAGATTCTATAAAGAAAAAAAGACTAAGACTGAAAATGCTACCGTTTACACGAAGAGGCCGGAAAGATGACGCGAAAGCCTTAGCTTCAAATATGTATCCCAATGCCGTTACTGGATCCAAGGATCGGGACGATATAGTTTGATATTTATAAAAGAATTATATAGAAAATTCATAAGAATTACGATAGATACTTCATAAAGACTCTTTACGAAAATCGAAGATTTGCTGGTCTTATGATTAGTTTATAGTATTTATTTATAGTACCCATTTAATATCAAAAAGTATGGAAATGTGTTGGAATTTTCCCTTACAAAAGGAGAAAACATAGTGGAGACTTCACGGATTAATCTCATTTAGCATGATAAATCTATATCAAAAATATTATAAATCATTTGAGCGTTTTAATGAATAGGCAATAAATAATATTTCTTACTGTATAAAAGAATTCCATACTAATTACATGGAAGAATGGATTTCGATGAAATGAGCTACTTTACACACATATAATGTAGCTTATAATATGACGAACAAAAGATATTATAGACCAAGTCTATATCATTCAATTTGAGCTTCGGAGTAAAAATGCAAATTTATCGACGTAAAAAAATTCAATACAGATAAAATTTTTGAGACTGTAAAGTGTTGGTACGCTAAGTGGCGCTTATCAATATTTTACAGTCTGAAATCTTACATTAAGTTTTTTTACATCGATGGCTTTACGTTTTGACTGCAGAGCTCAAATTGGACAGGCCTGTTATAGATACAAGGCTGAATAATGAACAACCTTTAGCTTGATATATCAAAGGTGCTTTGTACATAAACACAAATTTTACATCTTTAATGCACCATAGTTAAAATCTAATTATTATTATTGAGTTTTTTATGTTTTATGTCTTTTGTTCACCATATTATAACCTACGTTACATAAAGTAATTCAGTTCATCGACACCCACATAATTAATGCAGGACGTTTTTTCATATATTTAAAAAATGTTATTTAGATGACCTATTCAACAATCAAACACGGCATAACTTATTTTCGATATAAATTCATCATACTAAAGAAGATCTTTGAAGAGACCACTGCATTCTCTTTTCAGTTATCACTTCCAAAGAGATATGCTTATTATTATTTATGAAAGATATGTAATTTTACGGTACACACCTCGTAATAAGACTTAATAAACTCAAAATAGTGGATACGATGACTTATAATTAATAACTCTTCGATGTTACACTATACGTTTTGTCAGGGAACTATCACTAACAAGGAGAGGCTACGTTCTGCTCTTCAGGAATTTTGATCAAACTTACAGCGATGTTAGAGGAGCCTCTCCTTGTAAGTATTGTGTAAAAATATTGTATAAAAATGATTGATTGTAACGAGTTTTCCTCTAATTAAAACGCTAGATGTTAAAGAACGATAACAAGCAAAATATCTTAATTATTAAAAAAATTATAGTATGTATATAATGTAAAAGACACAACCAGGTATGTTGTATCGAGAATAGTATTAAAAGGTTAAAATTATAAATAATAAATACACTTATCTTCCGCGTAATACTTAAATAGTGTATTGAAACAACTAATTCAGATAACATATAAATAAAATAGTCTCGAAAAATATTTATTGAAAAAATATGACTTTTAATAAAATTAATTCAATTTCAAATAAAATTAAGATAAAAATTTTCTTCGCGTAGCAGCTTTTATAAACAAAAATTAACAGTTTATATATAATGATATTATAAATTTATGGCGTAATATTGTGAACATAAATATTTTATCCAGCACAAGTAATGACATGCGAAAAAATGAATTTGTTTAAAATGTAAGATAAATATTTTGTTTATTTCTGACGTCATAATCCAATATGATTAAAATATCAGAATTCTTATATTCTTTTTAGCATATTTGTTGAATATTAATAAGTCGATTAATTAACAAAATATGTATCCATGAAAAATTTCAATAACATGAAATTTTAAATTTAATTGCATATCACATATTATAATAAATAATATTTCGGAAGATGATGTCAATATTAGTCAGGGCTGGGCAAAATACATAAAAAAAAGTAATTGAAATACAAAGTACTTTTAGCCTTTCGATTCGAAATATAAAATACAAAAATATTTCCAAATTTTGTATTTCAAATACAAAATACTTTTTTTAAATAAAAATACAAATAAAAATACTTCCAAAATTTTTACTTGAAATATAAAATACTGTTTTTGAGTTAATATGCAGTAAAAGAATTTATTTAGACTCAAATTTAATGGATTTATTTCAAATGAAATACTAAAAAAATACTTTAATATTAGATCCTAATAATCTTTAGAACTGTTCTTTTTGGCTGAACCAGTTTATCTTCCTTTTCTTTCTTCCTTTTCTCTCCAGGAAAAGAGAAAAGGAAAAAGATGAACTGGTGCAAAAATTCAGCCAAAAAGAACAAGACAATAATAATAATAACTTAACAAATAATAGAATCTCATTTTTACGACCGTACAATTGTTAAACAATAACAAGAAAGAAGGACGCACAAAGCAAAGCCTATCACGGTCAAAGCTAGATCAAGATGCTTATTATCATTATGGGTGAATTTATATATCGCGTATGTGTAGTTCTCTCAATCGCGTGCCGAACATTTTTTTCAGACTTACAACGCAACTCTTCATATCGCAATTCAACATATTATTAAGATGTGCGTCCTTCTTTCTTGTTATTGAATAATAACTTAAATTTTTCTGATACGACAATCTCATGTGACAAAAAAATATATAAAAATTGTATTTGAGAAATACAAATATTGAAAATAACCTATTTGAAATACAAAATACAAAATACTTTGTGTGCTTATATTTGAAATGCACTATTTAAAATACATTTGCATTTTAAATACTATATTTTAAATACAAGTATTTGAAATGTGTTTAGCCCTGATATCAGTAAACAACACTCTTTACGCTTCCACTTTAGTCGGAACACGTACATTTCCTCGAACATAGAATGTATTAGAGAACACGCTCAATATGTATATGCGAATCCTCAATATCCGTAATATCGCTCTTATGTCCTCTTCTCACTTTTGATAAATTTCAATTACGTTCATAATAAAATAATACTATAAATATATATATCTTAAATTTGAAACTTAAAGAATTCAAATAAATATAAAAATTTTTAGAGATATTACTGATCCTAATTTTAAACTGTTGTAGAATGCGTAAGATATCTATATTCACATTACTTATTGAAAATTCTAACATATATATATATATATATTTCTTACTGTGATTTACAAAAATTAATATTTATCTAATTAAATTTGTATTAAATAGCCGCATTCGCGATTATATCAAATCTGAACTTCCGACATTGTCAAAAACAATTAGCATTTAATGTATTACATTATAAAATCATATACTTTTAATAAAAACTTATATAAAAAACTGAAATCTTATATGAAAAATTTTGATATCAAACTTACTATTTAATAACGTTCCGTAATAAAAAATATTTTTTTGTAATAATAAGTTAATAGCATTATTTGTGTGTACAGATAAAAAATGTAGTTTCTCATAAATACATTTAATCTTATAACAAAATTTTCTCACACATTTTTTTATCGTTGTTAATATAGCTGCATAAATATTTTATAGTTGAGATATGAATATTAAATAAAAATTACAACGAATTATAATAATATAAATAATATTCCATTACAATACCTTACTGATGAGTATTGGAAGCCGGGACGAAACGCCAACATTACGTGATAATCTTCGCAATATATTAGAATAAATAAAATTAAAGATTTTAATGAATCTATGGCTCATAGCCCTGTTCTCTTATTAGTTATAAATAATATTCCTGATATTTATAAAATCGTGAAATACGATATTTTTATTGTTTTCTAGCTGAATTATTTGTTACATTATAACTATATGATGTAACAAATAATTTAGTGTGCGTGTGTGTGTTGACGGGTTGTAAAAAATGTTTAACTACAATATCTTTTATGGATTAGGATGAATCCATTTTATGGATTACGTATGAAAACACATACGTAAAACGTTTCATGCTAAACTTAACTGTGATCTCAAAATATCTGTTATCTATATTCTATTTACGTTGCTAACAATGTAGGATATACCAGTTACTTAAAAAAATATTTTCAAATTTATATTTAACGTTTGTTTTTAATAAATAAAATAAATAAAACAAACAAAATAATACAAAGAGAAATAATATAAATGAGACATATAGTGGCATAGGTATACTCATAATATTATAATAACACATTATATAGACTATTTGGTGGCGTCGAGTGGCTCACCGCTCTGTGCGATTGACTCGCGATTTGTAGACCCGAATTCAATCCCACGAGCGCCCAAACGCGATGATTTTTCGCGTTTAATGAGCCAAAAAATGGCTCTACCTGGTGATCAAAAGATCTATGATCATCAGCGCCGTTCGGATTCGGCGTTAAAAACTGTAGGTCCTATACATCAGTAGTATATCAGTAGATATTTGTCTCTAATATCTAACTGAGGTAGGATTCTGTGGACTAATCACCCACAAATCAGAAAAACTATCTGATTCGAGAAACGAATATAGGCCTCGGACAAAAGAGGTCTATAGACGTCCTATGCTCCACATAAGGAGATAAAAGGTGTTATATAGACTATTTAGAAACATACAAGATTTTCGAAAGTCAAATTGATTAAACAAATAAATTAAAGAAGACTCTCGAAAATTTCAAATAACAAGAATAATCAGGCTAATGAGAGCTATTCCGCGGTTATTGGTGCGACAATATATAAGATATGTTAGAGTGTGAATATTATATACCACGTAAGTAGTTACCCCCCCATTGCGCGCCGAACATCCGTCGAACTTAAAACGCAAATCTATTAACTACCGTAGTAATATCACAAATTTTTGATGCTTATAGCATCTAACAAGATCTTAATAATATGTTTAAAGACATATTAAAATCTTAAATTAAATATTAAAGAAAGAAATAAATTTAAAACTGAGAAAAATAAGAATTTGTGAAGAATATCACGAGTTGGCGTTTCGTCCCGGCTTCCACTACTAGACTCATCAGTAAGGTAATGGCGTTTTAAGTTCGACGGATGTTCGGCGCGCAATGGGGGGGTAACTACTTACGTGGTATATAATATTCACACT